CCTCTGGCTTGGTGGAGCAGCCCTGCATTGCGTGGAAGCATTGGACGTCCTCGTCGAATTTGCAGTTTCGAAGGTTGTCTACTAGGAGCAGAGGAGTATCGGTCGACATGACTGTAGCCAGGAATCATCAGCAACGCTGTTCATGGGAGTACACGTTTCGGGAAGAAAACGCTCGCCTCACGGTTGGTTGAGGGGATGCTTGGGTGAAAATGCTCTGATGGGGTTTGGAAGGGTAGCTTGAACCGCGTGCACGGCTGATATTTATACGTTGTCTCTCGCCCAGGCTCATAACAGGACGGCTTTGTATGCAGTCCTTGTGTTATGCCATGTCCCATGGGGTGAATGAGCTGCGCGCTGCACTGAATTGAATGTGCTCCACTGTAGACGATGAGTGAGACTTTATTCTCGTTCACTAGGTTGATATATACAAACGACTTACTCGACGACGGCTAGCCTTAAGAGAGCAGCGTGCGACGCTTTGTGTCGTAAATACACTTCTTCAAGGTCTACATCTTCTGAGTGGTGCTGATAAGTATGGGACTGAGCAGTGAGAAAGTGCGAAAGCAGCACACACCCCAAGCAATATCAATGCCTTCGCCCACTCCTAGATTTAAGGTTACGGACGTGTTAGCCAAGGTGTAGATGATCCATCGAATTCCTTCAAATTAAGTAGTATGTCGTTGGTTCTGTACTAGTGGTCGAGTCTTCAAGTCGTGGTTGTCAATGTCGGCAGGTGCAGTCTAGACAGATGGCGGGCGGTGCGCTCGATCTGTTGATGATGCGTGCGCAGGCTTCAAAGAAAGCGGCGAAGCCAGGTACTCCACTTTTGGCGTCTCGGCGCGCATTTGGTATGGACTCAAGCGGTTTACGAGTAAGTATCTGGCCAACCGGTTCAGCAGCAGAGGTAGCCAAACTATGACTGGAAAGATTGTTTAACATGGCGGTAGGTCGAAGGGTGCACTTTGATGCACCGCCCTCATCCTTGAACTCGGCTCATAACTAGTCGGTTCACCAATACGCTTTGCGCAGAATTTAATAGGCCCCTGTGGACACACGGTGACCTTCCTTACAGGCCCAAGTCAGGAAATACTGTGTCAGTAGATGGATGAGATAATTCGCTACAACTAATGTAGTCCGCGTTCGAACACTGCATGGCTAGATCTCGCGACGCTAGTGTTGCCTGTGGCTACCTACACCGCCAGGTGGTACTCGAGTACAATGTCCTGATCCTACACCGATTGACTACAAGAGTCCGTGCAGGAGAAAGAAAATGGCCTCTTATGGCATGGCAAGAGCGGATTACCCGCAGTTGAAGTAATTGCCCTTGATGACAGATGGGCACCCTGCGGTGTCTGCGAAGTAACAAACAGGCTTAACTCGGTGGGCCAGCGGAAAATAGAGGAAGCAACGCACCTTTGTTCAGTGGGCAATCCTTAGTGTTGTCACAGCACTTGATGCACGCTCGCTTCTCGGCGGGCTCGAGGAGCTCAACGTAGTATTTGTATCTGTGATGAAACACCAGGTCAGCAAGGCAGCAGGATGTAAAGCACGCAGAGGAAAGTGAGAGTATGGAAGCGCAACGATGCAAATGACAGAGTGCTCAAAAAGGACTTGAATAAAGAGCACGATGCGTACCCTGTACAGACGCTGCCTTCCGGATTCCCCTTCCCATTGAGCCCACCGGGTGCAGAGTCATACTGCCCTCCCGAATCACCAGGGACCAGTCTGGAGAGCTTCTCAGGCCGGATACAGCCAGTCACTGCAGATGGGGCGATTAGTCTCCCATACCTAGGAGCGAAGGCTGGTTAAGACGCACACTGAGCGTAGCGAGCTCCATTCGTTCCCGTCCCCGTCTTGTACGCGACGTTTGACCAAAAGTCTGCGGGAAGCTGTCCTTGCTTCGAAGAAGTTCGTCCAGCTGGGGTGCAGTATGTCTTCATCCCGCCGGGGTACTCGCTGGCGCCAATGGTCGTCTTTGGATTCCTATCCGATGCGCAGCGATTAGCGTAGTCAGCCAGAAAACCTTTAGAAGACGCACCTGGGGACGATGATGCTAAATGCAAGATTGTGCATGAGCAAGGGCATGCAGTCGGTAAAGCTGGATGAGATTACCAGTGTTTACTCGCAGATGTGATGGAGACCATATTATCGACGGCTGCTCGGGATTCCAGCGACTCGACAGCAGGAGACGCCCTAACGAACGAGGCTGCAGCGAGGACAACGGGAAGGATGGCGCTGAAGAACATTGCTGTAGGTTTCGCTAGCGGGGAAGCAGCAAAACCGTCAACATGGACGGGCTAGCATCTTATACGCTGCATGCGGCGCTCATCGCTAGCACGGGGAACGGTTCTTCGAGGCCGTGGTGGGCTGGTGGTGGGGCGTGATAATAGACCCAATATGAAACTCGACAGACCTGGCCTTGTCATGGCTTGATGGCAGCGTCAACTGACCAGGCGAGATACATAATCGGTGCATATGCCCTTGTCGTGGCTGTATTTTCGCCCCTCGGAATGTTCTCGTCGTTCTTCTGTTGGTGATTTCATTCTATCGATGTGTTGAGGACGGAAGGGAAGCCGCAAGCGAGAGCCGAATTGGCGCAAAGCGTTCCATGAACATCCCGTATCTTCAGCTTTCCAGAGATGGGCTGATCGAACGCCATGGGTGGGAGACAGTAAGCGAGCCCATTTACAGCTAGACTGGTGATATAAATAGATTCATCGACTTGAGGAGGCGCGAAATAAATAGTAGAATGGACAGCGGAACCATGTTCCTGAGAGATGGCGGTCTCAAGAGACCTTGGTCGGTCATACGGCCCGATTGGGAAGACGACCTACGGCCCCCATATCCTTTGTTTTTGGTGCGTTGCGATCCCACCGCAAATCATGCAGCAAAGTGCCACCTAGCTCTTGAGAGAAAACGGCTAATGATGTGACCACTTCATGCAATACAAGTACATAGAACTGCGGCTCTTCTTCACCACGACTTTCGCACGCATAAGTAAAGAGTTCCACTTTCATTCCCAATCGACATTCATAAACACCACTACGTAACCAAACTCTGTCCCCTCGCCCCAATCTTCGCAAGGAACACTTTCGTCTCAGCAAGTATGAGGAGGTTCCCATCAGCTGCAAAAACCATGTTCGCAGCGACTTGGCCCACAAAGAACTTGCCTAGAAGTGTGCCCATTGGATCCCAGACCTACGTACGAGAAGAGAAGAAAGGTTAGGAACGGTAAGCAAAGGCACTGTGCAAGAGTGTACGTACATGGACACCATCTCCACACCCAGAATACACATTCCCTCGTCTGTCCACCTGTATGCCGTCCGGAACGCCAGTGTCGACAAAGGCGAAGACGCGACGGTTGATGAAGGCCTCTGTTCTTGGGTCGACGTCGAACGCGTAGCTGAGGCATTTGGTTGGTCAGCATTGTGTTCGAGCTGCAAGTGGAGCACGCGTACATCGTAGCAGGCCTAGTTTCGTCGACCCCTTTGAGACCTTCGTGGCTTCCCGTGTCCGCGCTATTCCCAGATACAAGTGTCAGGAGAAAACATGAGCACAAAGAACAACCCCAACTCACATATAAGCGGTTCTTCCATCCGCAGAGAACGCTATCCCGTTACATTTGTCGAATCCATCAGCCACAACGCGGACGGCTTTAGTCTTCGGGTCGAGGCGGTAGACCTGGTTCGGGAGGTGTGGGGGTGGGCGGAAGCCCAAGAGGGGGCCGTACCTGGAGTATTGTTAATTGTGACGAAAGAGCTCGGAATAGTAACGAGACGCACGTAACGTCAGTGAAGAAAATATTCTTGCTCCTCGGGTGCACTTTCACGTCATTGAGAGCATTGAACTGGCGGCCGAAGAAGTTATCCAGGAGGACAGTCGTATTATGCGGCGGGTTGGGATCAACCAAGGCAATTGTAGGTGGGAAGAGACCTCGGCCCGAGTTCACTAGCAGGAGGGTGCCTTGGTGGGGTCCGGTCCCGCCGTTCGTCATCTGGATGGAATCGGGGAAGGAGAGCTCACAGGAACAGGAACGCGTTTATTAGATGAACCAGGACATTGGGGGAGGATGGTACTAACAGGTGTAACAGCGACATTCAACGCCTCTTCCTTCCCATTCGCGGCAATCTCTCGCTGGACTTCATCCAGGTCAATGAAGCTAACAACGTTATTCTTCTCCAGCCCGCTGTTCCCCAAGCGGCCGCCGTTGTTGCTGCTAAAGTACAGCCTGTTGGTATCGGGCACCCAGATCGGTGCCTCGTGTGCAAAGGCAAACGTATCGTTGGATGCAAGCTCCACGATGAACGCGTCGGGGCCTAGAATATCCGACAAGAACGCCTTGTGGAAGACTTGGAGAAAGGGCGGGGTGGTGTTTGTCGGGTTTAAGAGGTGCTCATTCCCTGCTGGCCTGAAGAGCCCTTCATTGCCGAGGACTGCGAACGACGATGGCTCTAATAGCTACACAAGCTGTCAGCACGCGACTACTCTCAGAAACAGAACAAGCTTACCACAGCTTGAGCAGGCATGCGAGGTTGCGTCGATGATGCAGAGACAGACTGTCCGTACACGAAGTACGCCGCAGCCATCGCGGCGAACCCAAGAGCTATCATGTTGGGTACTCTGTTGGAGGGTAGGGTGCTTTCCTTTGGAGGTGCCATAGTCCGCTTCTGCTTTTATCCTGCGACAGATTCCCAGTCGCGTGAGAACGTGTGGGAACTGGGTGCTGGTGGATGTGTGTTCAGGCACAGAGCAAGACGAGGCAGGACTAGCTAGAGAACTGTCACGAATAGTTCACGGAGACGTTGAGTGCCCCGATCCCTCACGATGGGAGAAGGTGGAGAAGTAACTGGAACGAAGCAATTGGAGCAAAGAGCAAGCATGGCGTTGAGGGTTCGAAGAAGAGGAATGATGGCCTGAATTCCCCGCCAATTCACCGACGCCACGCGACCAGAACTCTTTCAAAATTCAATAGTAACTTTTAGTATCCCTGCCCCAAGAATGGGAGTGTACTCAAGTGGTTAAGAGGTTGTGTTTAGGTAATTTGCCGAAACCGCAATGCAGCAATGCGCGCGAGTTCGAATCTCGTCGCTCTCACATCTGAAGATGTTGACATTATTCCATCTGTTTTTGCTGTCGGAGCACGCTGCACTTGAGTCTTGCCACTGAGCAGCAGCCTACAGGCTGCCAGACTCCAGCTGCAGCCAGCACCTGGACAGCCTACGTGGTAATTGAGTTTGATGTAACATACTCTATGCAGTTCGCTACTCATAACTCTCGACGTCTCAGTCAAGGCAGTCCTCAGAAGTCTGCACCCATTCACACCTTGACAATACGTCTCTCATCTTATATCCCATACTAACTGGTTTCCGATGCACCGCTGCAAGGAAGATTAAGAGTGTTGTACCTGTCACGAACTGATAGATGTTTGCACGCGGTGACAGCGGTCAACACATTGTACTTTCACGTTCAACCAAACAGCAGGCAGCCTTGAACCATGGAAAGCTTGAGCGAAGACCTGGAAGGAATACGCCTTGTCCAATCACGACGCACAGGCAGCACGATCCCACCTGAACCGAGCGCAGCGACCACAAGCAGATCCAATCCCAGAAGGACCCAAAATAGAGTGAGAAGCATGAATATATACAGCATGAAAGCAAATGGAGCAGCATCCTATAGCACGTACAGCGTAGCAAACAAGGGAGAACTGATACAACGAGGGGTAAGATGACGGTGAGCAGGTCTGAGGTAAATATGAAACGAAAGATATGGTGAGAAATGCGATGAGAATGAGATGAGAATGAGGAAAGACGTTGTCGTCCGGGTACAGAGAGGAAGAAGAGGAGAGAGATATGAACGAAGAGATTATAAATATGGATGAGATAGATAGATAGATAGGTCATGTTTGATTGCGAATGGGACGAAGTAGATGAAGGCTCGTGGGGGTCGTAAAGAAGACGTTAAGGAGCGTGGAAAGCCGTGATGTGAAGAAGGAAAGGCGGAGAGCCGAGAATTGGAAGTGACGTGCTAAGAAGCAAGAAGCAACAGAAGGGCTGGAAATATAGTGCCGTTTGCGTGCAACCGACGTCGTCCACCCCAACCATGTACGCAAAGTGCTCCCATGAGCCGAGTGGTAAGCCGGACTCGCATTCGCGCGCTTGATTAGGCAAACTGCGTTGCGTTGGAGAAGCCTGCCGGCGTTCGGATGCTAGGTCATGGCCAGGATTCATCGTCGGGTCGGGGAGATGCTGGAAGAGTGTGTGCATCTGATAGGCGAGGTGCGTTTACGGCATGTTGGCGAAGGAGGACGCGACGCCGGATTGTAGCATGGAAATGCTGAATGAGTAGGTGGGTTGTATGAGGAAAAGTCGCAAGGATATCCTGGGTACATGGCCGGGTTGAAACGGCCTCATGTTAGGGTATGATGCTGAAGGCAGCTCGGATGAACGAAAGGTGTTCGGAGGATAAGTAGGGTGCGTATGAGTGTGGATAGGTAAATGCATAGAGCTGTCGGGCGTGTGTGGATAGAAGTGGGTGGTGATAGATGAGGGTTGGCGGAAGATCGGGACGATGCCGAGGGCCGGAGACGAGGAGAAGACGGTCATTACAGCCGGTGGCGGGGAGAAGCACTGAGTTCGAGGTGGTCGCCGTCCTCACATGATAATGCAAGGACCCTTCTTCTTGTGTCTGCTCTTGAACTCGCGCTTGCCCTGCGGATACCTCGCCCGCATCTGCCGCGTTATCTCGTCGAAAACCTCGTTTACATGCCAATCCCTCTTCGCGCTCGTCTCGTAGAACGGGTGGTTCCACTTATTCGCCAGTGATGAAATCGTCGCCCGCTGCACTTCTCGCTCGTTCGCCAAGTCGGCTTTCGTCCCGACGACCACTATCGGTATCTGATGACAGTGGTGAATTAGACACTGACAAAGCACCATGCAGGCAAAGTAGCTGTCGACGACTTACTGTATCATCTCCCTTGATGCGATATATTTGTTGGCGGAGACTGTCGATCTCCCGAAGACTGGCCTCTTGCGTTAAACTGATGGGAACATTCGGTTAGCGACGCCTGACCCACACTGCAATCGACGGCGGGGATGGGAGGAATCACCTGAACGCTAGCACGAAACCCAGAGCAGCCTAGGGCGGGAGACAAGATCAGCTGGGAGTTCCATCGGACGACACAAGCATGCAACGTACCTGGATATATACTTCGTTTATCGACGTGAATTGCTCTGCTCCCGCAGTGTCCAATATTTCCAGCTGGAGAAGGGAAACGGTGATGCGTCAACCTCGGAATTGGAGGGCAGTAAGGTTTAGGATGAGATGAGATGACTCACCTGAGATTGCACCCCGTCAACGACCACTGATCGTGTGTAGTTCTCTGTACGGAGCAATGGAATGGCGAGTTAAGACAATAAGCACTGGCAACTGGGATTAGATTCAGCGTTTAACGCACCTTCGATTGTGGGATCATAGTTCTCTCTAAACTCATTCCTAACGTATCTGGCTGCGAAGGAGACACCGACAGGTGGTGAGTTGCGTTGCCTGCATGAAAGCTGTAACGGGACTCACCCGTCAGTGCCGACTTTCCCACTCCTCCAGCTGATAAACAACAGTTGTCAGCGCAAGAGACTCAACCCATATAAGCAGATGTAGCCCACCTCCAAGCACAACGACGTTAAAGACAACCATGGCGTAGACTGAGTAGGCTTAGGATGTGAAGCAAAGGGGTGTAAGACAAGGCTATGCTGGGGGGGGGACTGTTTGGCGGTTCTGATAAGTATGATGGGCGGTGGGTTTGCGATGAAATATGTAGGGAAAACTACTGGAGGACGATGAGAAGATGAGGGTAAGAAGAGAGGAGGATTGTGCTTACGAGGTGGATTGACAAGGTGGTGGAATGCATATGGGCGCCTTGGTGGAAGGTTGTATATAAGTTGTTCAATCCGATAAAGTTGATTTCTTGAGTGCCGTTCCGACGAGAGCCCTCTGATGATGACAACCCACGTGGCGCTGTTTCAACTTCTCCTCCTCCCCCTAAAAATTTACATTTCGTTTGAATTGTTCGTTTTAGCTCCCCATTCTTCCGTTTCATTCTGTTCTTCGTGGAGTCGATCTGTATGCCAGGGTGCACATCTTCCGAGCTCTCTGTCTAGTAGACTCTCTGCGATACGAGAAGATGACGGGTTACGTCGGCTTTGAGCGTCCATTTCTTGGTCATGATTTATGTAACAGCAACTGGCCGACCAATCTTACAAGCGAGCCCGCTGTATTCTTGGACAATTCTTGGACGCTTCTCGTCGTCTTCAGAACTCCGGCGAGTAATTCAACATTAGCAACCAATTAAATCACCGGTAATGTCGCCAATTCCAGTTTACCTTCTAGGCGTTTTCGCCGACATTTCCCCCTGCGCATCTCCAGTGCCGTAATCAGTCCTAAAGTCGTGGATATACTCTGCGTACATTGCGTTGCATCCACCGCAAGCTCATTCAGCCATCCCGACCCATCCACAGAACTTCTACTACTTTGTCAAGCCCTGTGTCATTGGCTATTCAAGTCGAATCAAGATGACGCGTCTTCTTTGCGCCGTCCAGTTACTTTGCGGTTGGCGCCCTAGTCCTCTACGTAAGCAATTACTCGCAGCCGCGATCATCAGGTTCTGCTGGGGGACTGACAGTCTACGCGAGCACGACGCTAGCGTTCTGAGACGAGGTGGCACTAGCTTTACGTTGCCGGAACATGCGACCGTCGGTTCCGACGGGGAATCCGCGTCCGTCTGTAGGAATGCCGAGCTCATCGTCATGAAACGCGATGCGGCTCTCAAGCGCAACACACCGGTAAATTTACCTCAATTAACATTTCCAATCTCCAGGCACCCTCCTGAAACTGGGGATGAGCTAGTTAAAGTTAGCGCTAGGGCCAGGCACCGACGTCGGGTACAGTGATTGACGACGTCGACGCGACCGGAGTTCAGCGACGTAGACGTACAAGTTTACACCTGGTCATTTTTGGACCGCGCCTCAGCGTCAGGCCACCTACTGACGTAGTGGACGCGTACCGCAGCGGTCGTTTCCGCCGACTAATGAACTACCCGAGGTGCGCCTCCGATGTCGCGGCTCGCAGCCGTTCAACAAGCGGGCGCGTCTTTGGATTACCGAGGGGGTCCGGAGTTCTTGAAGCTTGGTTGAAGCAGCCTGAGATTGTGTTCTCGGATAACTAGCGGCGAGTATCACCCTTCGGGAGCTTAAATTGGAAGCAAATCTCGCTCTGCCGTGCGGGTTTACGGAACAGATTCCTCGCTTGAGCGGTGCAGGTCTCGTCGAGACAGCCTCACCAAGTTGAAACTTTTACATTCCACAATCTCAATAGCCACGTCTCTCATCGACGTCCGGCTTAAGCCCACCGACTCCACTTGTTTTACCAAGCCTCAGCACTTCGTCTCGTCTCGTCTTCATTTTTCCTGCCCAATACGAAGAATTGCTATCGTGACGCCACTAGTGCCCGTGGTATCGGTCAGCTCCCCTCGTGAGCGAAATCTGAGTTTACAGTTGGACCCAGCAGTGCGAATACATATTCAGTTGACCATCATGCCCTTGTTTCGCAAATGAGCAGGACTGCAGAGTTGTTGCCTCAGGCCTCAGGTATTTGCCATGCGCCAAACTTCTCCCGGAAGATTCTTTCATGTGTGGATGCGGCGCCTCAGGTTTTTGCTGATCCACAGACTCAGAGAAAAGTGTAGAACTCACGAAACTTGCCGTTTACGCATGTTAAAGCAGGCCGGACACTTGAGGTATATGCACTATTATCGATACGATACGTATGAGAAAAGATTGAGAAAGGTCGCGATACCTCAGACGCTCATTGATCATCTCGTGACCTTGTCATGACTTCGAACTTCGTTCGCGATCTTTCTCCACTGAGCTCAAACTGAGCTTGTTCACTAGCCTCACTGTTGGTTTATGGGAGGTGTCAGTCAAGCATATGTCATATGGTATTCCGGACGGTGTACATTCACAGCCAGATCGGGTCTGCAGATCTATACGAGCTATACGCATACTTAGGCTCAGGAAATGTGCAGCTAATGCTACCAGGTATAAAGTCCAAGGGTAAAGGGTACTGAGGCTCCCACAGCCATAAAGCGTTCGTTACTGCATACTGTACTGTTCTCCATGCATCTACACTGATCCTGACGAGGTTTGTTGCTTTCGTTCGCCCTAGCAAAAACTTGTTCCATTGGCAATAGGACCGATGTTTGAGTTCAGCCAAGAACCTATCCTATATACTGTTGGTCAGTTCGCGCACCTCGTGTCAATGGTTATGTAAACACGCTCACCTCGTCATGCTCCGCAGAGCCGGCGGTGCCCAAGAAGCAGAATCGTAGGCATGAGTCTTGAACGGAAATGCATGCCTCCAGAGTATCGAGCAGCCCTGTGCTCAGAACCTGCACAGGGAGATCTAGCTGTGAAAGCTGATAGGAGCACCCATCTTCGACTGCCAAGATGCCAAGGATCTTAATTGCCTGCTGGTGGTCCAAAGAGGCGTAAGCTGCTTCTGTGTGATCTTTGCAGGCGCCGGGAAAAATGCGCAGCGACCGCAAATGCCCCGCTGAACGCTCGAGAAAGGCGGAGAGGGCGTCCTTGTCGCCGCAGGATTGAGGTAGGAATAGTCGCAGTTGGGTGAGACGAGGTAGTCCATTGGGCGTCGCGTAATAGCGAAGAACTGCGTGTGACAAACGATCTTGGTCAAGTATATTGCCAAAGATACCGCTATTGTGTAAATAGAAGGGAATCAAGTCCACAGTTCGCAGTGAGGCGGCATGGAGATGCAGCAGTTGTTGAAAAAACTGAAATTGTCCTTCCTTCGATAACCGTAGAAGGGGGAGGCCAACACGAAGCTCCTCCAACGAGAAAGATTTCGGTGCTACAAAAGGAGCGAGGAATGACGTGGGGTCAGTATCATCATCTCTCCAATCCCACTGAAATAAGACTTCTAGCAGTGTCAGCTTGGGGAAGCTCTCCGCCCATATACCGAGCATTCCCGCAGGTGGATTTCGCGCCGCTGACTCCCGATCGCAGTAGGCAAACCTGAGCCGGAGATGTTCAACAACTTCGAAGCGGGGCATTATGGAACAGCATTGCTGCCATGATATGAAGTGGTCCAGTGTCATGTCGAGATAGATATGTCTCAACGTCGGGGCACCAACGGTGAGTAGCTGGTCTAGGAAAGGGTGTGTTTTCGGAACGAAAGGATATAGGGATTCATTCCTGTGAAGCTGGATGTGCAGCGTTTCGATGTTCGGGAGCAAGAGCAGATGTCGAATGGTCTTTTCCCGTGCGTGCCGGTGCAGTAGTTTTGGCGCGAAACTGCCTGCGATTGGTAGGACTTGCATACGGGTTGTGAGAGAGCGCAAACTGACTGAACGTCCGTACATCCTGAGGTCTAGGGTCGTGTGACAGCGGACGTCAGCGTGATGTTGATCAAGCAGAGGGCATTGACAGCTACCTGTTAGTACTTCTCGCTTTGCGATAGGGCTCAGAATGGAATATGTTTCATCGCGTAGCTGGAGGTAGTGGAATCGATGGCGCAGGTTCTGGTCTCTGTAGAGTCTTCAGTGGCGTTGGGTAGAGGACCCCAGATTCACACGTACCTCAGCTTGATAGTCTTCCGGAGAGGCATTATCGATTCTTGGAGGAGCAGCACGTCGAGCTTCCGGTACCTCAGGTTCATAGCATGCTCAAAGAACGTGCGGTCCACAGAGTAAAGACCGAGCGCGAGCTTCTCCGGTAATTTTTCGAGTATTCTCTCTCGACCAGAGCTCAGGAGGTAGCTCGGGCATTGTCCTTCTCCAGCTGCTAACTTCGGAATTTAGACGAGTGCAGTGAACGCAGTGAAGACGGGGCCGCTTTTGATGTAGTTGAGAGCACGAAGATAAAGTCGGGCCAGACTTATATCAACCATGTCAGGCTGTGTTAGAGGTCGCGCCACGAACGAGAATTGACAGTTTGGCATTTAGAGGCAGCGACATCAAGATATGAGCTGCGTTCAGGAGAAGTGGCTGACGAAAATGCGACTCTGCGCCCACCACCATCTTGTATGATTTACTCTTGCTTCGCCACTACTTCCTGAGTATCGTTATGCACAATTATCGCTCTACTTGCATCACCCGGGCCTGAGTCCGAAAACAAGCATGTTGGATGAATCAGCGTATTGAATGTGCAGCGCTCGCCACGGAGATGAGCCTAGTCGAACTTTGTATCTTCCACTTCTCTTTCATGTCAGACTGGGACGCGCAGTATCAACAGACCGCCATTCTTGGGCCCGTTTCTCCCAATGTACCAGGCTCAACCGTGCCAATCCTCGAAGCAAGCGATACTTATCGAAGATTGCCGGAGCCCGGAAAGGCGCCGATTCGCAACCGCAACATCCATGATTCTCATCGATCGGAAACACCGGACGACCACGACCATCTTTCAGACGGCGAAACAGGCGCTCAGAGCTCAGAACCGCTAGCCGAGGACCAGCTTCCCAAGCGGGAGCGAAGGACATTTGTGCTTTCGAAGACAAGGCCTCGGCAGAGAACACCGGGGCTAGAGTCCTCGACTCAGAGACCCCGAGGGACAGAGAACGCATTAAATGGTCCTTCTTTTCCAGGTATTTTGCAATGTGTACACATGTGCTTGTGGGGTGAAATGAGACTTACGAACCTCGTCTCCAATGTCTTCAGGTATCGGTGGAGAAGATCGATTCAACTGTGAGAACAAGTATCAGGCGGATGAGCCTGGGCAAAGACTGGCCGCAAACGCGCGGGTATGGTGTGTGTTTCTCGAAGAAGCGGGGCACTTTGACTTTGACATGGTGGAGAAGATCAGGGACACCGTCGATGTCATCCTAGTATTTGTGAGCTTTTACCGGTTGTGTAACAACAGATCCTTCCTAAAATCCTCCCGCATATCAGGCTGGTCTCTTTTCCGCCATTATTGCAACGCTAGCGTCGCAAGCTGCAACAGCTCTGCAACTAAACTATGCCCAAGTTACTTCGGCCTTGCTCATGGAGCTCATCGCCGCCCAACGCGTGATAGCATCCGGTTCGACCGACGTTAGTCAAGTCCCCAGCTCCCCTCTCAATGCTCAGTCACCGCCATCATGCACGTCGAGCTCTACCGATCTCTGGGTTAACGGGCTGTGGTTCACCAGTCTCTTGTTCAGCCTCTCCACAGCCCTGCTCGCCGTGTTGGTCAAACAGTGGTTGCAAGCATACACAAAGTACACCTTTGGCACGCCTCAGGATCAAGCACGAAGCCGCGAATTTCGCTTCATCGCTTTGCGCAGATGGCACGTATTGACCATTATCGGACTACTTCCCATTTTACTGCACCTCTCGCTGTTCATTTTCTTCATCGGCCTCGTTGTGTTCCTCTTCAACTTGAACACGATCATCGGCTCCGTTGTAGCTGGCGTAGCATCTGCTGCGTATACGATGTATTTTGTCACCACTCTACTGCCAATATGGATACCTACATGCGCATACCAAATACCATTCTCCTATTGGGCCTTTGTCATAATGCAACACTTTCGACACTGGACACCGTTGGCACCCTTGTGGGTGCGACTCACCCCGATCTTTTCGTGGATAAGACCACTCCTGAAGATGGTATGGTTGAAAGCCCGTCGTTCGGCGGGTTTTTTGGGAACCCAAATACAAACTACACTTTCGCTCACGCTCGGCAAGGCCACCCAATAATGGAGTTACGCTAAAACCGCTGCAACCCCATAGGCCAATACATCTAGTTGGGATGCGGAGATCGAGGCTACGCGGACCCAGGGCCACGAGCTCGACGCTCACATGCTAGACTGGTTGTGCAGGACGTCGACCAATCCATTTGTGCAGGCTGTTGTTCTGCGAAGTATATTGGACCTTCCACCGGATTTTTCATCGGAGGCTACAGCCCTCCTGTTCGACCGTGGGGGAGTGTTTGACTGTTAGTGCAACGAAGTGCAGGCTCGATATCGAGTTGCCAGTAAAGCGAAGATGGCTCTCTACGGCAACAACGAATTTGAAGCCCGGTTCCGTATGCTGCTTGGTATCCACCTGCAACTTTGTGGGCCTTCACCTGCACCCGATCATCCTGATTGCTACAAGTTGCTAATCAGCATGCTGTCACACTTTCGCAACGACCTCTTTGCAGAAAACACTCTCGATTTACCTGGGCAAACGTTGGCCAAGTTCCAACGTGATGGACTCATTGATTCCATTCCAACCTTCGCTCCAAGGGCTGACTCAATTCCCTCAAGCTCTGTTAAAACGACGGTGCTACAGCGCGACCGCGCCTCCGTCGGACTCAGCCAAGCTACGCGCATATTTCAAACTTCCACGTCTCTCATGATTCCTCATCATCTCTTATCTCTTTTACTCGTCTCTCTTTGACTTATTATTTCGAATTCGTCCCTGCAGCCTCATTCTCGATTGTTCTCATTGGCTCGACGTAACGTACTTGTACTTCTGTTCCTTTTCTCGTCAGCCCAAGAGGTCCTCTCGCATAAGCTTGACGAGCACGGACTCTCGTCAAGCATTCTTGTCCCATCTCGGCGTCCGTTTAGTATTTATTCGTTGCTTCAATGATCCTTCGGTTGCTTTTCCTTTCACGAGTGCGACTGAGTTGACTGACTGTGTCGGGCCTTAGATACTGTCCACCTGCACTCGATCTATCGGTTTATTAAGCTCCCCATACTCTGGCCCTTGTTCCGGGAGCTTCGTATACCCAGCCTCTAACCAACGGTTGCCAGACTTCTCACCCACTCGACCAATCGTCTGCAACGGGTAATATATTTTGAACAGGCCTTGTCTGCATCGGTTTCATGGCGTAGTTGGTTATCGCATCCGTCTAACAGAAGTAATTCACGGAAGGTCTCCGGTTCGATCCCGGATGAAACCAAATGTCGAACAAGGCTTCGCCATCGTTTTTGCTGGACTCCAGTCCCCCCCGAGGGGTCAGAATCGGTCTACATAGTGCATACTACGTACTAAGGCTGGGCGGCAGCCTCCCAGACACTGAATCTGAGTCAAAGATCAGAGAACTCAGGGAACTAGGACGAAGACGAGCTGGCGCGCCTAGGGGCATCTTCATTGTATCTGATTTAGCTAGCTTGTTTGGCTTGTTCGAGACTTTGAAAGTCCCACCTCGACGTCTGCGTAGTGGCGGCATCCGATAAGCCGGAATCCAGCGAAATGAGATCCTGAGGCCGGGGGGTGCGACGTTTCTTAACTACTGCGCCCACTCTCGAGATCTTCTCCTCATCCCCAGCTTTCCTCTTCGGCTTCGTACCTTCCTTCCCACGCTTTTCTGCTTGGTCTTCTCGTAACCTGAGTGATTGAAGGCTGGAAAGATACGTCAGTCGCAGTCGACACCATGGAGGAGGAGATACACACAAGGTCAATTTCGGCCTCAACCTCTCTTGCACATCATAGTCCGCAAACATCCAACACCACATCGGCTGCGCGTCATCTGCTAATCCGGATCCTCCCTCAATTTGGCAAGCAAGTCCGCGTTCCTCTGCGTACCGCCGAAGAAATACGGCAGCGTGCGATTACTGTGCGGCCCAATGACACCGCAGACTCTGTCGACAAACGGGGTACACGCGGCGCGCTGGCGCCCGTACTTCCTCGAGAGCGCCGCGGTAATCCTAATCAGCGGTGGGATAGAGTTGCCTTTCTGGAGTGTTTCTAGGGGCACTACGTCCATGCGGTGCGCACAGATGATGAGTTGAGGACGTAGCAGCGCGTATGCGAACACGAGCTTCGGATGTTTCTTCTCTTCTTCTCGAGTTGTGGGAATAAGTTCCGCTGGGAGTGCGGACATGGGTTCATTGAGCGGGTCATAGTCCTGCGAGATTGACAGAATCAGCACAATGTACACCGGAAGACCCATAAAGCTACGAACCTTCGCAGTGATGGGGGAGTAGTCGTCTATGCTTCCGTCGTTCCAGTTCGCCAGAATGGAGGGCAGGCTATCTTCGAAGGTAGGGGCTTGTGGTTCCAAATGATGTTGTTCCTTAGCATTTTGCAAGAGCCGGACGACCTCCTTTCCAGTGGACCGTTGCATGAAGCAATGAGTGGTGGACGAACGCCTCAACGTTTATGATAACAACTTTCGAGGTAGCTGTGAGAAACAGACAAATGGAGCGCAGGCATATGACAGTGATTATGCTTCGCCAAGTTTCTCGCCACCGTATCTCGCTTCAGTTGGGCGTGTGGTAATGTCCCGAGTCCAACCATGAGCTCAACGTGCTCCTCAACAATGAAAGATATCAACCAGCTTCATTCTGAGCACGCCGAACTGAACGATGAAAGAATAACAATAATTGCGCAGTATGACACTGCTCGTACACCCCAAGCCCGTTACATATACCGAGCTAGTCTAAACCTCCCCCCGATCCGCCTTCACCGCCTCATCGCTCTCCGTCGGCTGCTCAAGGACTGTCTCCGAGTCTGAGGAGCCCTTGACGACGGTGCGCGAGCCGTCGGGAGAGGTGTGGATGGTGCCGGTTGGTGCGTGGATGGTTGATTCTGGAGGGAGGAAGGGGTTAGTTCGGGTCGAGACGAGGCGGGGAAGAACGTGAGGACAAGAAGAACAATGATGCAGAGAAAGAACAGGTAGAGGAACCCCAGCATACCGCCACTGAATGGGGAACTTGTGCAAAGACACGTTGGTCGGAGCACCCGACTGCTGATGAAGCAGGCCAAATCATATCATATCACATCATGGATGGATTGGGTTGCGATAGAAATACAACGCTCTTCAAGGAGCTATAGAAGGCAACGACACAACTTCGAGATGCAACGACTTAAAACAAGCGTATCTCCCACACAAGGGAGGCATATCTTCCACACTAGGGAGCGCGTATCTTCCACACAAGGAAGAAAGTAGAAAGCTCTTTAACGTCTCATCGACCCTCACCCTTTGCATCGCCGAGCGGGCCGCCCACTTCGTCCTTTGCGTTCGACGACCCGTGGCCGCCGTCGTTGGAGTGGTGCTTCTTGTGGATGGCGTCGATGGTGGAAGACTGCATGTCTTTAGGGGATGCGGAGTTCTTGTCGGCCTGAGGGGTTGAGCGTGAGTAGGTGCAACAAGTGTAGCGATGCGGGGGACAAGGCAGGAGTGGGGAACAAGGGAACAGAGGAGTGGAGTAGGAATAGAAGAGTGGGGTAGGAATAGAAGAGTGGGGTAGGAAAAAGAAGGCTTACCTTGACGTGTGCCTCAGACGCGCTGGCGAGGTTCTCGTTCCAGCCAGGTGCATGATCGTGCACGTTGCCCTGCTCCTTCTTCAAGTTGCGCTGCTTCTCCTTCTCGAGGACCTGCAAGAACAGTCAAATTCGCTGACTGTCTGGTTATGTACAGAGAAAGCGTACGTCGGGGTCGTTATCGTGCATGGAGCTCGAGAACCGCCTGGAAGAGACACGCGTTAGTCAACGGCGCCAGTCAAGCCACAGAGGTACACACTTGAAGTTCAACGACCTCGTCGCAGCAACAGGTCGTACAGTCGCAGCAAACGACCTCGACACAGGCGCAGACAGCGAAGCGAGTGCATTACGGAGAACCATTATGGTTATCGTCGGTGGTGATGGTGGTGGTGATTAATGAAGAGTAGTAGTTTCCCAGGGCAGTGCGTGCGTGGTAAAAAGGAAAAAGTTGAGAAACGTGTTTTTGGATGAGAAGCGGTCGCTATAAGTGGAATCAACGATGATGTCATGTCGGGACGGCCGAGTGGCGAGTGGGGTCCAATGACGGTGGCCCCAATTATACACTGTGCGGAGGGGCGCAGTATCATCCGCGTCGGGGGACGACGTCCGAATTCTTCCGAGAAGTGAGTGATTACTAGGATCGATCGTCGTTCGTCGTCGTTGTCCATGGCGTCGAGGAAAAGTCGTGCTACTGTAGACGTTGGGCAGGAGGAGGTTAGCAGAAATCTGAATTGCCGTTGACTGTGGCCCGCCTTACACAGATGACATAATCACCGGTGATAGCCGCATACACTGATGGCCTGCCAGAGCATAGATACCGCCTAGATTGCGCTCATCCTCCAATCCAATCCATCCATCCATCCCTTTTTCTCACCCCCTCCATCACCCACACCACGTACGCTTCATTCTGTCCTCCTTCTCACTTTGAACGCTTGAGCTGATTCTTCTTGCAGAACATGGCCGACCAACTTGTGCGTGTGCTTGAAAGACTGATGATCTGATCAACGTTATCTCATCGTCGACGTCTTCTACCTTGTTCCTTGTTCATGCTCTTTAACGGTTGCTTTTGCTGCTTGCATCGCGTCAAACGACACGTTGGGTCAACATGAACAGTCTGAAGGTGCGTCCGACCCATTCTACCTTCACAGCATTTACTGACTATGACTATACTCAGAGCAAATCTCTGGTACAGTCCATGCCCAACCGTCGATGCGTCAATAACACTAACACCGCCTCTAGAGTTTAAGGAGGCGTTCTCCCTCTTCGACAAAGGTACCTCCCTCCCCTTCTCTCCCCCCCGTTCTCTCCTAATCCCATCTTCTCAACAGACGGCGACGGCACCATCACCACCAAAGAGCTCGGGACCGTCATGCGTTCCCTCGGCCAAAACCCCACCGAAGCAGAGCTTCAAGACATGATCAACGAGGTCGACGCCGACGGTAACGGCACCATCGATTTCCCAGAGTTCCTCACCATGATGGCGAGGAAGATGCGCGATACCGATTCGGAGGAGGAGATCAAGGAGGCGTTCAAGGTGTTTGATAAGGATGGGAACGGTTATATCAGCGCGGCGGAGTTGAGGCATGTTATGACGAACTTGGGTGAGTGTTTGAATTTACTCTGTTTCGGGGGAGATCATATTGGAGGTTGGAGAAGGAGGAAGGGACCGTATCGTGGTGAAGAACGCGCGGTTGGGCTGCGCGTTGATTGACTGGGCTGCTCCGCCGTCCTCATCTCACACGTAACAATGTACCTTACTAACGACCCACCCACAGGCGAGAAACTCTCCGACCACGAAGTCGACGAGATGATCCGCGAAGCCGACGTCGACGGCGATGGCCAGATCAACTACGAAGGTCAGTCCTTCTCCCTTTCCATTCTATACCCTTCCCCCTCATCTTTCTTTGCTCGGTACTAAATCTTTCTTTGCTCGGTACTAACGTTCCATCTATCTAGAATTCGTCAAGATGATGCTCTCCAAGTAAACTGTAAACTACCCCGCACCTTCCGTTACCCAAATCCGTAGTAGTCCCCGGCTTGTGTGTCGTTAATGTAAACCCTTTCCTGTCATGTATCATCCTGCGTTTTCTGTGGAAATAAAGTTGATTCGGAATCATCTCGCGAGGGAGGCTGTCTTCGAGAAAAGGTGCTCAGACTTTCATGTCGTTTAGCAAGAGATGAGTGGTGTTCGGAGCGCTCACTGTGGTTCTTGCTTTTGGTTTAGCTTGGGGTTCTTTCATTCGTGGCGAGGAGGAGGGTTGGCATGGCTTATTTCCTCTCATTTCGCCCGGCTCCCCGCTTATCAGATGGCGCTACTCAGTGATTTCATTCCTTCGCTGCATCATAAGCATACATCTGGGTGACAAGAAGCTGAAGCTGAGTGTCTAACTCCAATCGTCAACTCAAAGTACGAGCCGAATCGAGCGCATCACCCCAAAAAATTGAGCGCTTAGGCTGGACGACGACGCTTAAGACGCAGTGGACCACACGAGGAGGTGAGCATTGGGATATCGATGTATAAATTTCGAGACTATATATGTATGTACTGAACAAACTGGAGGAGTTTGATAAACACAAGACAAAATGGGAAAAAACTTGAACATAAAAGACGGACATATCATCGTATAGCAAATACAGGAAACGAGACGGCATGCAAGCGTGGGTCGAACGTCGACACCTCCGGGATCCGAGAGA